ACCTTCGCTCTCTTTTTTGCTTCTAGCTCTCGACCTTCACGATTGTACAACGTTATAATTAAAAAAAGAAAACCTCACTGTCGTGGGCACGACGTCCGTCGCGGCCGCGAAATCCTGCCAAGTTCTCTGTCCGAGAAGGAACATGCCCAGTTCTCTGCCTAGTTCACGGTCGGTTAAGGTGCATTTATTTCGACGCTCTAAAATCTTCAAACTATCATTCCAATGACATGTAACATTAACATACATCTTTATCAAGTAACTCGAAAAACAAAAAAAACAAAAAAAAACCATACCAAAAGCGCGTTTTGGACGAATAACAACTATAACGACTGTACATTCGTTTTTTCATTGAAATCACGAATGTACATTCGTTATTATTGTTTTTCGTAACAAATGCACCTCAACCGACCGTGCACTCATCAAATAACACATTATGAGGAAGTTAAACTCGTTATGGGTCTCATTTTGGTCATTTTTAAGTTGAAATGTCCCGGAATTAAAGCGCGGAACCTTTTATTCATGTTAAAAAAAATTTAACAAAAAAATAATTGGTGTCGCGCCCGCGACCCTTTGGCGCGCCCGCGACGTCCTGGGAGTGGTTATGTCCCCTTAAGTGTCGCGCTCGCGACACGCGTCGCGCCCGTGACTTCCTGGCAGCGGTTCTCCCCATAAGTGTCACGCTCGCGACACGAGTCGCGCCCGCGACGTCCTAGCACTATTTCTGTCCCCATATGTGTCGCTCCCGCGACACCCGTCGCACCCGCGGCGGCCTGGCATTTTTTTTTTTAATTTTGATTAAGATTAATGAAATGTTACTCAATTTAATTCCGGGGAGTCATATTTTATGTAAAATTATGAATTCACAAACATTTTACATGATCTAACCATTTTAAAAAAAAAAATAAAGAACAAGTGTTGTTATTTAAAAAAAAAAAAAGAATTTTGTTCTAACACCTTCAAACTATCGTTCCAATGACATGTATCATGAATATACGTGAGTAATCAAGTAATTCGATCGAAAAAACCATAAAGGAAATGCGTTTTGTTCTGAAAAACAACTACAACGATTGTCCATTCGTTATAGTATTGAAAAAACGAATGTACAGTCGTTGTAGTTGTTTTTCGACCAAGATCCACTTAAACGAGACCGTAATTCGTCATATAATATATTATAAATATATTAAACTCGTTATCGGTCTAATTTTATCTTTTTTCATTTAAAATAACGAATTTACAAACATTTTACATGATCTAACCATTTTTTTTTAAAGAACAAGTGTTGTTATTTTTTTTTAAAAAAAAAAAAGAGTTTCGTCGTGAGTGTTTCTGTTGTGTTCGCTAGTGCCGTACGAGTTATTTGCAGCGGAAAATTTGTTTCGAAAACAAGTATTTATCTAATAAATACGCA